TATTCTAGGTCTTCGGTTTTCTGAGTGCCGATTCTGGATTTGAGTTGCGTCATTCTAACATAACGGTTAACTCCTACCCAAATGAGTCAGACATAACCTGTTTGCTATAGTTTGGGCAGTGCTGCTAACATCGTCGTAGTATCTCCCAGAATTTCCTGGAATCGTTCTTAATATAACATGATATGAAGTAAGATATGAATATTATTATCGTACTCTGAAATAGTGGCTATAACAGAGATACCTTTAGATGTATTGTCGTTCGATGAACCGACGAAACCATACCGATTCGTTACATAATTTTACATTGTTTCAACAATAATAAAAGTCAACTAAACTCAAAAACAGCTTTTTAAATGCAATGCAACGAGTAATAGTAAAAAAATGTTTTTAGAATAATGTATGTGATCTATTTACGAAAACAAGTTTTTCATTTATTTGCGGAGTAAAACAGTATAATATGTTGTGATTCAAGTTGGAATAATGACACTGAAGTTTACTTACGAGTGTCAAAACCTGGATTTGTTATTGGTTACCTTGATTTAATTATAGACCCTCTAAATTATTTGTTTATAAGATTATTGATTATTTTTATTCAGATTTGCATGTAAAAATGTGACGTATATGGCCATGGGAAATAAAAGAAAACTGAGTACATAAATAAATATCTGACTTAATTTAAAATTAACAGCCACTCAATACAAAGTCTGCAGCAGTTTTGATCACTATGGAGCACGTTATAGGGCATATCGTTATGGCAACAACACAATCCATACAAATTACTACCGGATTCTTTTTGTATTTTTGATATATAATCCAATCGGTACAATACGTAAACTTTTAAAAAACGATTTTTTACAAAATTTTGATTTGAGGGGGAACAAATTGTGACTTTTGATTTGAACATAATTTTGTGTGGCGCGAGGATTATTTTGAGAGGGGACATATTGAAGACGTTTTAAAGGTGGTATTCAGTCACTTATTGTGGCATAACTGAACATATCAATTGTAATTATATACATAAAAACGGTCTGATGGCATGACGTAATTCTTCCCATATTTTGCATTTTTCAAATGCGGTCAGCATATTACTAATGTCACGTAGACATGCATGGCGTGACTGAATTATACACTGATTCAATGCACGTGATTGTGCGAGATGTTTTACCAAAATACCGGAATTGAATTACACAACTGTTACAACTAACGTCCAATCAGGGAACATCTCTGTAAAAAATGGGGAAACGAATCAATAAAACGGGTAACAACACGTGACGTAATTACGGGCAATACTTGTGATTGAAAACAACACGCAATCACTATGACTGTAATGTCGAAACAATCGTCTTTCAGATAGCCCATCATCTTTTTAACGTTGATTGGTGCATCGAAGTACATAGAACGAGTAAACGTTGTTATCAGTTGGCAACCCCCATACAAGATAGAATAGATTGACCCGTACTCAAAGACAACATGTCGGACACGAATAAACCGTACGTGTGTACACTGAGCAAAGAACTGCAGGAAAAGGCAAAGAAAGAACTTCACGAAACACCAGAGGGTCGGGAACAAGGTTTGAAAGCATTACGAGAGAAAACTCACACACGTCCAGATATCAAGTTCCGCACCGATGACGCGTTCCTGTTGAGATTCTTACGAGCCAGAAAGTTCGACGTAAACCGAGCGTTTAAAAATCTTGTTGCCTATTATGAAATCCGTCACGAGTATCCAGAAGTTTTTGACAACCTGGAAGTGGACAAATTGAAATATATCTGGGAAGAAGGACTTGACGGAATGTTTCCCGGGAAAGACTCCGAAGGCCGCCGTGTTGGCGTATTTCGACCAGGTAATTACAACTATCAAAAAAACAACTTCTGTTCAATGACCAGGAATTCTGTCTTTCCTTCGCAAATTTATTGGGAGTTGACAAAGGCCGTTTTGATTGTTCAAAAGTTTAGTGACTGTCATGTGACCTTGATAATTGTCGAAGTCTGTGTAGAATTATGCAATGATTGAATGAGGTTGAGTTTATCGGTTCATTGACCTATCATCGTTATATGGCATGTTTATTTTGTCCAGTCTTATGACATATTTTCTAAGTACGATGAAATATCCTACATATTATACCTTTTCAGTCTTGTTTTGTACATCGATTAACTGGAGACGTAAAGCCCCCGGTGAAGGGGTTAAACGACTTGATGTATACGAACATAAATGAATGTAGTACACGTGCATGAGACTCGTGTTTACGGGTAATCTGCATATTAAAATGCGTACAGGTGAACACGGACAACGCTTTACATAATGACCTAGTCCACGTCAATTTCCAGAACATCGTCGGTGGACAAACTTTATCTGACACTAGACCTTTGATATCAACTCGGTCAACTCATGGTTTATTGCTTCTTGTTCTGAATAAAAACAATGATATGACTTGCATTAATAATCAAATAGCCTTAACATTGTGACAGAAATTTCCAATTTGTCGATCCCGAAAAATATTTAATACTAGTTCTGGTGTACATATGCGTAGGCGTGTCGGTGATATGCGTAGGCATGTCGGTGACCCAGAAAAGCATCATACGACTTATCATACGCCGATAATTTACACGATTTCTTGAACAACGAATATGTTACTTATAAAGTACATAGTGATTAACCCCACCTGCAACGAAGGTGAGTCTTTGCACGCGATTTGGTCGCTTTGGCAGAAACCTTTAGGTCACGTATTCGTATGGTAGACATTGTCAAATTTCGCTACCATGGTGACAATTCTCCGTGCAACGAACATTTTTTGGGTACTTCATAGGGAAATGTTAATTACATTTCTGTTTGCAAGACAGAGCATAAACTGAATAAAGTCTGAATAAAATCCAACTTGTAGATTTATTTTTATATTCCACGATTGTCTACGAATATCAACATCCTAACTTTACAAAATTAGAAAATGGACTTTGTGTTTAGAAACTCCATTACATTGCTGTATTATAAATGTGTTTTTTTTTATCACAGGAAAACTTGACGTTGATAAATACAGTGTGAAAGACATGGCACGTGCAAGCGTGTTAACAATCGAGAAAATGCTAGAAGACGAAGAGTCTCAGATAACTGGTGTCGTAATGATTGGCGACTTTGCCGACTACACTGCCAAACACGCTCTTCATAATGGACCGTCATTCGCCAAGTTGATGATGTCAATTACCGAGGTATGGGTCAGTCAATGTTGTCTTAGTAGGCACATTTTGTAACAACACCCTGATCCCGGTATGTTAAGCGAAATTCCAATTAAAGTCAATTAATAGTGAGAATCACTTTCAAAACAAACTACATTGTACTATGAATTAAAAAAATTAAAATGTGAGGTTATGGCTTTATGGACCCAAACTGATTATATGATCCGGACGCCGTTGCCAATTTGCCCCCTAAATTGTATCGTCTAAGGAGAATGCGGCGTGGGTCATCAGGGTAATGTAATAAGACAATACATTATTGTATACATTTCAATTGAGTGAACTTCCAGCAAAACAAGAACACACTATTAAAAGATGAAAAGTTGTGTTTATTTGCCAAAGTGTTGTACATGTATATAGTTAAAAGATTCCCAGGTCATCGGTTCTTGTAATGATAAACAATTCACTATACACAAGTCTCATTGACGCGAGTAAGTATGGCCTCATTCATAGAGTTCAGATGTCAAATGAGAAACAGCTCCATGATATCTGACTTTAGCCACGGTTATTTGAGAATATTCTAAAATAATAATAGCACGAAAATTGATAATATAATGTTTTTTCGTTGTTAGAGTGCCATGCCAATTAGAAATAAAGGAGTTCATTTTGTCAATACCCCCTCAATATTTGAAGCAGGTATGGCGATATGGAGTGTGTTTATGACTGAAAAGATGAAGAAAAGGGTAGGTATAATGATTCAATAAAGTCAGTTCATTGAAATAATTTGGTCTAAACGTATCCCAACAAATACTAATTCACCGTCTGCAGCAAGGCATGGGTTTCAACGAAATCGCCACCACATAACCAAAGTAATATAAACTTTCGGAGTTTTTTTCAGATCAGAGTACATGGCGACGAGTATGGTACATTGCACAAGTACATTCCATCAGCTAATCTGCCGTCAGATTACGGTGGAACCCAGCCAAGTGTGACAGAATGTACCACAAAATGGATGAAAGAATTACAAACATGGGAGACAAAGTACATCGCTGAAAATGATAAATACGGTATTCCGAAGATGAAGGACGCCCTCGGTAAAGACGCCAAGACCATAGACCCCAGTGGAGGACTCGTTGGAAGCTTCAAGAAAATAGAACTATAGTCAGATTAATCATTCAAAGTCATAGCATACAAAACAAACTTGTCTATTGTCACTTTTAAAATGTGCAAAACATTACATTACAAAATATATAAGACTAAAAAATGGAACACGATATATGTTTAATGAAACTACTAATTCCTGGACTTGCATGCGTCAAGACGCTTAGCTGAATCTACGAACATCGGGCATGGTTTTATTGCTTTCAGTGTTATTGACGACAATACTTAAGAAAGAGATAATTAAAGTCGTATTCTTTCCCATTGTTTTGGAGTTACTAGACACTGGCATCGCCAGCCGTTAACGTGAAATTTGCAAATGCGTGACTCGTAGTTAAGAAAAATAACAAACATTATGCAGTTGTATGAGCCACTTGTATTCACGTTTTCTCTTGGGATCATTGGTTTGTTACATATTGCAGCGTTACGTCATTCCTAGATGGCTCTATTGAAACGACCACGCCATGCCGGAATACGTAAGAGTATTTGTATACTGGGTAACTTGTGAATTAAACTTGAATGAATTGATCAATCAAAACGAATGGATATGTATATGGGGATTATTCATATAAACGACATCACACTTGCTAAGTTAAAGGGCGGTAGTCGTCGCGCCACGCATGCGCGAGATGTATGGGTCTCGTAGTATAAACAAAGATGGCGACTTTGACTGTTGCACAGATCAACGAATACAAACTGAGACGTTACCAAGCTTTAATTAGGTATTTTTTGGTGATTGGAAAATATCGAAGGAGTAATCAGTACAAGTTGCGCTCATACTTGTGATTTACATTAAAAGAGCGCATTGGATTAAGAGAAAACCAATGTTTATCAACACAAATGTCTCACATGCGCAGCGCGACGACTGCCGCCATTTAAGCCTAAGATTGTGCAAGTCAGTAGAAAATGGACAAGCGTGTCCACCAGACTCTATTCCTCTATCAGAAAATGTTTCCCCCTTCCTAAAACAGGTCAATATCAGTTTGGCTAACATTAAAACGATTGTTGATTGATTGACGTGCAGTAAGACTATTTTTGATCACAAATTGCTGTAGTTGTAAGTAATGTTACCATTGAATTATTTTTAATTTCTTTACCGACTATAACTGGGATCAAGTCTCAGAGCATGTTGATGAAGTGGGTGCTGACATAACAGCAGGAACGGCAACATTACATCCCGTGATGAAGTGGACGCTGACATCACAGTAGGGTGCCCAACAACAACATCAGATCCTTGTCAACCATTTCAACTGCTCGTAACAGTTCCATCAACGCTGGACGCTCATTTTGCTTTTCCATTACAGATATCCATGCCGTAAGAAACCTCTTGGCCGCATTTTTTTCATCCCAATTATGGACTGTTTGCTCCCGTCTCACTGCGGCAATCTCATCCTCAGTAAATTGCATATTACGCGCCACCACGGGCCATATATCGGCGATGACCTCTGCTACTTCAGCCGTTTGCTCTAATGTCAAGACAGTACCATCGTAGAGGACTTGCTGGGCATAAATGTTGCCTATATTACCCATCATTCTCCACAGTTTCTCAAGAATCTCAGCTCTACACTTTTCAGCTCGCATCTCTTCAGAAATAATAAAATGCAACAACCTCTTGGCCGGGTTCTTCCATCGATGATCGTTGTCCAAGCTTTCTCTTTCCCCGAGGTACGTCGCACAGTGTTCATTACAGCTTGCAGTGTCGACGCGTGGACTTCCAGACTGGTATCTAGGAGTGTATCTCTTATTGGGGTTATAGCTATTTTGATCCAATTCAAACGAAATACTTTTCCCGCTCCTGGACGAGTTGACTCTGTTGGTAGAGTGAGGACGACTATACGATAGTACTCCGGCTTTTGAACCTGAAATATTCGATAACAATTATTGAAAAGTCACAATTGTGATATCCAACAATATAACGTTAACCAGGGCGCATCGGGTGAAAGCTGTTTCTGGTCTTTACATTCCCCCCCCAAAAAAAATGGTGCGACATGTATTCGTTAGATACACGAGTGTATTTAATAGATAAATATTGGTGTCATTACGTGATTGTGATATGTTCGAAACACATCCGGGCAATTGCTATAAATCATTCCACGTTACATTACCTGCTACGTGGTTACTCTGAACTGTGGTGGCGCTATCAGTTCTACTTCCAGGTCTGACCCCATTCACCGGTCTGCCGTATCCATTCATCATACTGCTCCGTGAACGAATTGGAGAACTAAACATGTTGCCATAACGACCACTGCTGTCCCTGCTCGTTACGGAAATCGGCCTCTGAGTGCCTAGAGCCTCCCAGCCATGTATGTAGTACGTTGTGGTGATGCTTGCGCTACTGCTAGACCTTGATGACGCGGGGTTCTTATCTCCACGGTGCTTACCCTTTCTGAAAAAGTTCTTGGTCAGCGGCTCTGGGTTCTTCCAATACTTGTGAACGCTTACATTAAATGCCATATCTTTCGCCAGACATCTGTAATCCATGCATTTAACAGCGCCATCAACGATAATAACCATATCACTTTTTTTGTCCAATGCGTTACAGAGTCTGTCAAATACCGCATCCGGCATTATGCGAGACGTTCTCGACTTTATTATATCGACGATATTTCTGTCTGTTTTTTCATCACGCGGTGTTGAATCCGTTAAGCTGATTTCATCTTTCTACAGAAAGAAAATTCGTATATATATATATATATATATATATATATATATATATATATATTAGGAGACGTCACTTCCCACAACGTGCATAATTACTGTGAAGATACTGCCATGTGACCGGGTAACAATCAACCTCGGGTCAGAAAAGCCCCTTAGTAAAACCCGTGCACCATATTGAGCAATTAGCGATGCAATCGTTTAATAGACTAACGGTAGTCCAATACGACAACCGGATATGATGATGTATTCGTGCGTCATTTAGAAAGGAGTAAATCACCCAATAACAGTATGATTTAGCATGGACGTAGGGACA